CTTTCTAAATCTCGTGATTTACTAGCAGACTTGATTATCAAGTCTATTTCTTTAATGACGATTTCACTACCATAATGGAGACCCAAGTCTTCGAAAACAGGCACGTACAATATGTCATATATAGAAAGAATAACAAAGAGTTTATGGTTTCATAAATATGGACTATCCCAACATGTGACATCAGGTCAGTTTAAAGGAGCTAAATCGCTAATATTTGGGACCTAGAAATTGACACAAATGGGACGCAACGCAAATAATAATGTAATATGAATGTATTTAAACTGATTTACATTCAATGGTTACTGGTTTTACTGTAATTTCTAATCAGTTATGCTCGGCGAAATACGCCAGAAGTCTCAATCAAATGGCAATCTATAGCGTCGGGTTATTTCAGTCTACACAGAAAATATTTATGGCGCATGCTCTCCAGATAAGAATATGGCGTCACCGTTTGGCATGATTTGTGTAATATGTCTAACCTCGTTCTTCGAGTCCTTTGTTACAAATGGCGCTGAAACGCATTATGGTACACGATTCGTGTACCAATTGTAAAATGGTTGCAGACGAAAGCACGTCCATTCCCACGAAATGATTCTGCCTCTATGTCTGTGGAGCGTCGTTTTAAACATGACGAAGATATTTTCAATATCCGCACGATCGTCAAAAACGTGTTGAAGGGGTTTCACACTTAGAGTTCGTGGCAAATCGTGCGCGAGTCTCGGAGTCGTGCATCACGAAAAATCCCGATGTCATACTCATTGATTTGTTTGACAATAAAAAAAGACGAATGTTTCCCCCCCAGAACACTATCAAGCTGTCAAATTAGCTCTTTAAAAAAAAATCTGAAAAAAAACCCCGACCTACCTCCTCGATTGTGGGTCGGGTTTGGCGAAACAAAGATATTTTTAAGGTCAGCCTTATGCATTTGTCTATTATGCAAAATGCAGAATGCAGAAGTGTAATGTGCAAAATAACTATATTCTACTGTATTTTGTATTATTGAAAAGTGTATTCTGTATTTTAACACCATGGCATTGGTATTGTTGAGCAATGGAAATTGCAAATTGTAAAACTTAAATACATATTTTGAACTACTGACATTTGCAGTTTGCACCGTGAACAATGAAATAATATTGATGAAATAATATTGGCAACATTATACTTCCAAATAATGCCTCTAATATTAAAGATTTAAATTACTTGTTAAGTCAATTAAACTGGCTAGTTTGTGACACCTTATACTGGTTAACAGTGATACATAATATATTGTCACACTCTTATTTTGTTTTGTTAACAATAAACCTGTTAAAGTAAACTTCTAATATTTTGTGTTTTTTGGGTTTTTTTAACCGACCTACCCAACCAATATGATAACCCTGTTTAAATATATCAATTTTAAAACAATTGGATGATAACTTTTGGCGTTAGAGCGTTCACAAGGTTCAACAAAGTGAAAGAGAGAGAGAGAGAGAGAAATGAGGTTTAACGTCCACTCGACACAAACTAGGTCATTTCGGGACTAACATATGGTTTAATTTTATTTCAATAATTCGCTTGCGCGTAGGGGTCTTTACCGGTGGGAGGAAACCGGAGGACCCGGAGAAAACCCACGAGGTTGGACAGACGACCCTACTCCTTGTCACGTACAACCGGGGATTCGAAACCATGCCAGTTGACTCAATGACAGGTCGTATGATACAGCACGCGCGTGCTAACCATTCGGCCATCCAACCCCCCTTCAACAAAGTGAAACATTACAAACAGAAATTGCTGAAATTCAATAGGTAGGATTCTTCTTTTTACTAATTTAAATGACGCATATAAATTTCATACAGATTACTTTTGATGTTAGAGCGTTCACAAGGTGCAACAAAGTGAAACAAGGACCATAACTCTAAAAGTAATTGGACACAGATCACTAAAGATTTCCCCATTGACTCCAATGTTAATTCTCGTATCTTAGACCGGCTCTAACTTTTTCCCAAATTTTCATTGGGTAGAAGTTTTCTACCACAGATGGAGCAACATGTGGCAACCACTTGCCCAAAAGCACGTATGAGGTTCTTCATGAAAAACTTGAGATACACAAGCTGGAAGTAGAGACAAGTAAACATGCAATTTCAGGCCCTACATTTCAACGTAACCAACCTCTCAACTCTTGTATCCTTCCGCATCAAAATTATGAATATTCACCAAAACCTGGCAGAAAATGTATTTTCAAACCCTTTTCCTCAATTCTACACCAAAAAGTCAACAAAAATCGCCATGCAAAAGGGGGAAAATGGAAAAGGGAGAGGAAGACTAAAAATAGCTTTGGCCCTTGTTTCGTGGGTGACGGCGTAGGAATATTTGGTGATCTGTGTCCTATATAGGGGTGAAACTTCAGGGATCACCAAAAGGCCTTTTTTATTTCCTTCCCATGTGTTCTGGCAACATGCCGGTGAAAGAAAATCAAAATCAAAGAATAACTGTAAAAATGATGGCCCTTTAAGTACACATGCTGCTTTATGTACACTGGTGCATTTCAGGTCCATAGGCCTTTTGTGCTAAAATTTAACAATCTTTCTTATTAAAGGCAGTATCTGAGTTCTGTGAAAAAATTAGACAAGTAACAAAGAAACTACATAGAAAACACTCATAATTTGGAATTTTTTTCAAAAATATAATTTTTTACTGCCATGTGATGAAAAATGTACAAAATTTACATGTAGCATCTCTCAAAATACCAATAATTTTCCACTTTTTTAAATATCCGGACGGACAGGAAATATATTTTTAGAATCTGTGGACAATATGCAAACAGAAAAAAATGCAAACCAGTTGCAATGATTGTAATATTAGAGATCTAAACTGAAACATGTATGCCTACCCCCTGAACATGCCACTGATTGAATTAATCCAATCTATGGTTGCAGAACTTACATTACCAAAGGAATCTGTCTAACAGCTATGTTTTACCATCCCTGGCTAACATACATGTATGCACATATAAACTAAAATAGGTGCAATAAATATGAATTATGGTTAAAAATAGGCCTTGATGAATGAAAAAAATGCCATATTTGGTCTATGATCACCCCTCTCTAACAGAAGGGTCACAGAATACACAATTTTCACAAATTTGGGAATATTTCAATGTTTCCAACATCTCAAACCTCAGAGGCATGTTACAAATTTGTATTGCAATCCTTGTGCTGAAGCAAGATGTCTGGAACTTTACATTAATTTCCTGAAAATATGAAGTCAAAAAAGTAGTCATGACAGACTTGACAACATAAAAAGAGGCCTGAAAAGGAGAAAAATTAACATTTTATTGTTTTATAGGCAACATAAATGCAGCAAACACCACAAATGCTGGATTTTGATAAGAAAATATTGAACATTAAACTGACATTTACACATCTACACCAGTTTTATATCTGGGTCTGGTCTCATTGGCCTGAAATGCCTCAGGGTTCTACGTTTGACTCTGAACAAATAAGGGTTAGAAATCCTTGAAATGCACAAAAAAAATATTTTTGGGTGAAAAATAACATTCTTAGCTGTAATTCAACCACAAATTCCAATTAAGATCATTTACATGTCAACACAGGTGCATTTAAATCCCTCAAAACACATTAATAGAAAAGGGTGGGGTGGGGGCATTTATTGCCTCTCTAAACAGAATGATGGAGTAAAAAATGTCTAGAAAGGCTGGGATATTGCTTCCTACATGAAGGAAATGCAAGAATTTAATGTTTCAAAGAAGAAAAAAATGCTTATTCTGGGTAAAATAGTGGCAAAATTGAGCCAACCCCTGTTTTGAATATTTTGTACAAACCCATATGCTGTACATTATTAACTCAGTGTTACCAATTTTCAATTTTCTGTAGGAAAGCTGGAGCTATTTCTAAACCTGACGAACATGTAGATCCCATCTAAGTTATATTAGCAAAGAAAATATGGGCATTTTTAGACATTTTGACTCATTTTAGTAGTCATGAAAATATTAATTTCTACATCCAAATGGGGGGAATCTCAAGATTTTTTGTGAATATTCCTGATTTTTAGACAAAATTTGGTGAAATTTCAATACTGTTCATTTTATCTGTGCTTTCTGAGACTGAATAAGCCAACATTTGGCATTAGAATATTTTACTTAATGTTAAAAATTCAATAAAAATTGAAAATTGAGAAATTTGCAGTAAAATCACAATTTTTCTTCAAAACTTTGATTTTTTTTTTAAATTAACTTTTTTTAGTTTTTCTGTAGCCAAACTATTTTATTCATATTTTCTGAGAATTTAATCTTCATATTTTCAAAACTAAGGCATATCAGTGACAGCCTTATCACACACAGACAGGACACAGATCACTAAAGATTTCCCCATTGACTCCAATGTTAATTCTCGTATCTTAGACCGGCTCTAACTTTTTCCCAAATTTTCGTTGGGTAGAACGCTTTCTACCACAGATGGAGCAACATGTGGCAACCACTTGCCCAAAAGCACGTATGAGGTTCTTCATGAAAAACTTGAGATACACAAGCTGGAAGTAGAGACAAGTAAACATGCAATTTCAGGCCCTACATTTCAACGTAACCAACCTCTCAACTCTTGTATTCTTCCGCATCAAAATTATGAATATTCACCAAAACCTGGCAGAAAATGTATTTTCAAACCCTTTTCCTCAATTCTACACCAAAAAGTCAACAAAAATCGCCATGCAAAAGGGGGAAAAAGGAAAAGGGAGAGGAAGACTAAAAATAGCTTTGGCCCTTGTTTCGTGGGTGACGGCGTAGGAATATTTGGTGATCTGTGTCCAATTAACGGAAATTATTGAATTGAAATAGGCTTTTTCATCTCACTAATGTAAACAACATATATCAATTTTAAAACAATCGGATGATAACGCTTGACGTTAACACTAACAGCGTTAACAAGAAATTGTGGACAATGGACGGAGATGGACCGATAGGTCGACGGCAATATAAGTCCACTGGGCGTATAAAAAGTACTTACTCTGTTTCATCATTTTCAAAGGTAAGCTCTCCATCTACCAATTCATAATCCTTTCCTGCTTTGGCTGTACCATCAATTGTTGTATAGGGTATTTTAACTGTGCCTCTGGCACCAGATGAACGAACTACCTTCACATGCATTTCACCAATTGATTCTGTAACATGTGTGTCTTCTTCTTCAAAATGGAAGATACCAGGATGATCATCATCAAGAATCATGACAGTAGCCATTGCTGGGTTGACAATCTGTGCTATACTCTTTACACGATCACTTTCAAAAAGACCTTGTGAATCACCTAATCGTAGGTTGCTCAGCTGGACATAGAAATGTTCATCCTCTTCAAAAAGCTCATCATCAATAATAGTTACAGAAAATTGTTTATGAGTTTCCAGAGGATAAAAGACAAGTGTTCCCTCAGCATATTCAAAGTCAGTTCCTGCATTGGCAGTACCATCTTCCGTTTTGAAATCGACATACACAGTCTTAGATAAATCACCTCCTTCTCTAGTAACTGTCAAGAAGAATGAACCAACATTTTCCATCACTGTGTAATGACCAGGGTCAAAATAAACTTTAGTGACTGGATCTATATCTTTAATATCAGCTTTTGTTTCACTTCCACTTGTTCTTGTTTCTACTTTAGCTTTCTTAATTACATTTCCACTTCCTGTTAGTTTACGGGTAGCTTGAATTCTATAGAAAGCTCTACTTTTAGGGCCACGATTAACAGCTTCATATTCAGCCATCTCTTCTAGTGTTTTCATGTCAACATTTGGATGTTTCTTTCTCAATTCTCGCATAATTTCTATATATTCCATTCTATGCTTTTCAAACTCCCGAACTTCAGAATCTTCTGAATTAAGTCCCTTAAAATCTACATCATCTCCCAGATGATTACTTTTACCGTCGCCCATCTCTTGATCACCAAATCCTTCTGACTGAATAACAACGCCTTTTCTATCACTCGCCCTGTATTTTTTTGAAAAAAATTTGTAGACTAAGAGTTTTCTGTCTGCAATATAAGCTGTTACAACCGTGATAGGAAAGAATAAAAAGGTTAGAACAGCTTCCCAAACATCCACAACTCCATAGGAACTTACAGAAAGAATAAAGTACAACCAAAGATAAGCAAACACACTCCATGAGGCAGTGATAAAGAAAACATGTAAATGTTTTATGCGTCGAACCTCATCAGATGGTACACAGTAAACACAAATTGAAGTAATTATGAACAAGTTAAATGCAGCACTTCCAACAATGGTGGATGGACCAAGGTCTCCAGCATTAAATTGGTTACCACATACTTCTATAACTGAGAGCAGAATTTCTGGAGCTGAAGAGCCAAGAGCCATTAGCGACAAATTGGAAACTGTTTCATTCCATATTCTTACATTAACCACAGTTGTTTCACCATTTGATTTTTTCACTACCACCTCCTTTTCTTTAGAAGTAATGACTTCAATAGCAGCCATAAAACGGTCAGCTATAATGGAAACACCAAGGAACATGTAAATCATGGCAGCCATGTAAACTGTTGCTCTTGCTGCTTTGTCCCCACTGCTAAGACCACTAACTGGTGTCCAAAGTGGAAGAATAAGTCCTTTTTTACATTTTGTTGCTTCGCGTGTACATTCTTGCGTAATATTTATTGCACTGCTTGTACCAGTATTTGCAGAAGAAACAAGTGTCTCTGCGAAAGCTTGAGGTACATTTTCAAAGGCAAGGATTGCACACAATAAAAAGATAACATATTTTTTCATTGTACTCTTTGTAGACTTTGCTGAATATAAATCTGGTACAAATGAAACAGCCATTTTGAATATGATTTGTTGCCAGTTATAATTTGAGAGTGAATTGCCTTGTGTTAGTCTTTTGAGTGTAACTTAATCGCAAGAACAAAAAAAAAAAAAGTATGGTAGCCACTAGATAACTACTGACAGTTTGAATTCTGCAGTTTTATTTATAGATAAGATGCAGAGATTTTCCAGTTCAAAATCCGCAAGTTACACAGTGTCACTGATTGGCAAGGGTCTAATAATATAATAGTATTATTTTAATCCAGGTCGAAGATAGACTCCTCAGTTTTCAATATCAGGCTAGATCTAGATCCATGTAGGCCTAATAATTTAATGTGAGTCTGTAGTCAGCATAGTTTTACACCTGCATGAAGTTGTTTCGTATTAATTAATAATTGGCTAGACAATTAGACTACTACTGACTAGTACACATCTATATTAATTATTATTCGTATTATTATAATTATAGACTAAAATTTATCAGTGCTCACACTTACTGACTCTATGATTTGTATGAATTATCTATCCTATTCTAGTAGTAGGCTATCACTATCAGTTGTTTGAATTATAATAAAAATACAGTACATAGATTAACCAGCCTAGAAGGTTACAGCTAGAAAATTAAAATTCACTCCAGATTTTACTAACTTTTAGAATCTAGACTGGCAGACTAGCCTACACACAGATCGCGGGCCAAGACAAGACCAAGATAAAAAGTAAAAATCCATTCTTCGATTCGCATCAGTCCAACAAACATTTCACGCAAAACCAGACGCAGTTCTATAATTGAGAACGGGTAGATCTCTACAGTCTATAGTAGCCTAGATCTAAAACCGAACACGGAACAATATTATCAAATCGGAGTTTCGTTGTGTGCACTCCTAATCCTGTAGAGACTAGATCGTTCGCGAATCGTATACGGTAACCCTGGCTATTGATAACCATGAAATACATACACTACTGCACACACTTGTAACCAGATTTTAGTAATAAACTTCTGCTATATGTTTCTGCCATAGAACATCGCAGTGAATACGACGATCGAAATTCCAGCCGCTGAAGTTGTGTGAACGGTGCAGACGACTAGCAGCACACCGTACGACCAAACATGGAATCAAGGGCGGGTTACTCTAATAATAATAATAATATTTTATTATGTTTTTAATATAGTATTATATGTCTATGTGTTTAATTGGGTTTAGTAAGACTTAGGCCTGGTCCATGTTTACAACCAACGGACGCAGAATAATATTAATAGTTAAACTGGCATATAATTACGTTGACTACGCAGGGCCGTAACTAGCTCAGAGCAACGGGGGTGGCGGGAAGTGTTCTCAGGGGTGTTATATAGTAAGTAATCTATTGTTTTTATGGTCGACAATTTTTTTCACAGGGGGCGACACTTTTTCAAGGGGGGGGGGGGCCGTTACGGGCCTGTGGGTACGTAGGAGAGACCGAGGCACATTGAAAATATGGGCATACATTGAACCACATACCGGTAATAAATAATACTTTATACGTTAGTCGGGTGTTCGATCCCTGCATTGGCCGAGAAAGTTCATCCAGATTTTCCGACGTGGTTTCCCCTTGTCAGTGGTGCAGAACGGAGGGCCTGACAAGGACAGTTGTCTAGTCCTTCGGATGAGACGAAAAACCGAGGTCCCGTGTATATATTAGAAGGCACGTAAAAGATCCCCTGGCAGTTGGAATTCGATATAAGAGTAGGCGATAGTGCCGCTGCCCGGGCAAAATTTCCCTCATAGCACACTGTATGGCGTATGGCCGTCTTCATTAGCCCAGTATAGGGGCAGAACAGTAGGACGTTAAACCCCATTTCATTTCATTTTATTACTAGTCTACTGTCTAGGCCAAGGCTACACACTTTTTTTTATTTTTTTAGACCTATTGCTCCATCAATAATAAGCAGAAGCTGTTGGTTATCAATAATTTGTAGAGTAGGGGCCTACCAACTTTTTCAAAATAGATGAATAAAAGTGAAAATTCACATCTTCCATTTAACATTTCTCATGTATACCCGTTATATAGGCTACCTGCTTAGCATAGGAAATTCCTGTTCGGTACCTAATCAGTTCACAATCTACAATACGGGCCAGATCCACGGAGGGCATTTGGATTTTTTTTAAATTTTGATCGTTCTGTGATGGAACCACCGATTCAACGTACCCAAGTGCACGATAGTCTATCATTTAATAATTTGTCATATCCTTGAAAATAAAAACATAAGATTTTAAATGTCAATTATTCAGTATTGATTCATCTATGTTGACTGTAGGTCTATCGAATAAACCGGAATTAAAGCTTCGCGGAAGCAGTGTTGGAAACTTGTCTGCGGCATACAGGGGCCCAATGGGTCCCCCTGACTAAAGCCGCTCATCAGCAAATTTAGACAAATTTTGGTTTGATCATAAGGTCCATGGTTTGATTCGCTGTAGCCTACTACAAACTTAAAAGTTAAATGGGGGGGGGGGGGGCGTGCACGAACTGTCACCTTAGGGGGCGCATGGAGATGTAGGCCTGTAGGAGCCAAGGAACTAGAGCTTCATACTCCCGCTCGTTTCGATCCTTGTACGGATGTTAAATCTGTGATTTTTTTTCCTCAACCAAACACTCATTGTTTGCAGATTCACTCATTATATCACTACGATAATAGTGGCTGGGTTTGTGATCTAAAGCCAGATATGTTTAACATGGAATGGAGTATACTTCATTACAAAAACATTGGTGATTCGATCTAAAATCAAACAACAAAACAGTCAACGAATACAAGCTATTTCTTCCATACAATTAAAGTATGTACGAGCGTCATGTATTGGCTGTGGACGAATTAACTATTAGTTGTGTACGAGTCAAGTGTTAGTTGTGGACGACATCACCAATAGTTAAAGTGGTTCAGAGACTCAAATTTTTGTCCTTATAAATTTTGAGGCATTTATAACATATTTCCAAATGGTTATATCCTCAAAAATCAAATGTGGTCAGACTTCCATTGTTGATGAATGAAGTTTTTACCAATGCTTTGTGGACGACTTAACCAGTGGCTGTGGACGAATTAACTGTAGACGACTTGACTTGTGGATGATTTAACTGTCATCCGTTCAAAGTGCCCCAATATGTTGTACAGCGGGGTAGGCCTACATTGAACTATTACAGTCATATATTAAAATTTTATTTTATGATCAGTAGTGGAATACCGCGTTTTATCAGTGAAATAAAAATTGTATTCCACTGGCTAGTTGTTTTTACCTAAAATGATTGTAAAATCATAAAATAAATAGAACATTTGTCGTTTTGTCGTGAATAACATATTTTATTTCATCTCTAAGCAAGAAAGTTTTCTTGCTTCTCGATGAAATAAAATATGTTATTCACTCTAAAACGACTATCCTCTATGTATTTTTTTTTTTAAAGTTAAAGATTAAATCAATTGAATCTGATACACTATAGCAACTATAACTCTAGCCCTACCGGTAACCTTCTTCTGGAGAGTTGGCTAATGTAGGCCTATATCATAACATTATACTCAAAAGACAAAGGGCCTATGGGAGATTATATAAGGAAATGAAATGAAATGAAATGGGGTTTAACGTCCTACTGTTCTGCTCCTATACTGAGATAATGAAGACGGGCATACGCCATACATTGTGCTATGAGGGAAATTTTGCCCGGGCAGCGGCACTATCGCCTACTCTTATATCGAATTCCAACTGCCAGGGGATCTTTTACGTGCATTCCAATATATACACGGGACCTCGGTTTTTCGTCTCATCCGAAGGACTCGACAGCTGTCCTTGTCAGGCCCTCCGTCCTGCATCACTGATAAGGGGAAACCACGCCGGAAAATCTGGATGAACTTTCTCGGCCAATGCAGGGATCGAACACCCGACCTCCAGGCTAGCGGGTCAGCGTCTTTTTTTTTTTTTCTTTTTGTCCCCCGCCTTTCGAAGAAAGCAGGGGACTATTAAAATGGGTTCGTCCGTCTGTCTGTCTGTCTGTCTGTCCGTCACACTTTTTGGGACACAATAACTCTCTTCCTAATTGAGCTAGAATGTTCAAACTTGGTGTATGTGTTTATTAGGTCAATGCCTTGATGGAGTTCGAAGATGAGCATTTTCCGCTTAGGGTAAGCAGAGATAAGCAATTTGATTGGTTGATGCTTTGGGACACGATAACTCTCTTCCTAATTGGGCTAGAATGTTCAAACTTGGTGTACGTGTTGATTAGGTCAATGCCTTGATGGAGTTCGAAGATGAGCATTTTCCGCTTAGGGTAAGCAGAGATAAGCAATTTGATTGGTTGATGCTTTGGGACACGATAACTTTTAATTGAGCTAGAATGTTCAAACTTGGTGTATGTGTTTATTAGGTCAATGCCTTGATGGAGTTCGAAGATGAGCATTTTCCGCTTAGGGTAAGCAGAGATAAGCAATTTGATTGGTTGATACTTTGGGGCACGATAACTCTCTTCCTAATTGAGCTAGAATGTTCAAACTTGGTGTATGTGTTGATTAGGTCAATGCCTTGTTCAAGTTATTTATTGTCCCCCGCCTTTCGAAGAAAGCAGGGGACTATTAAAATGGGTTCGTCTGTCTGTCTGTCTGTCTGTCGGTCCGTCCGTCCGTCCGTCACACTTTTTGGGACACAATAACTCTCCTTCTAATTGACCTGGAATGTTCAAACTTGGTGTAGGTGTTTATTAGGTCAATGCCTTGATAAGCAATTTGATTGGTTGATGCTTTGGGACACGATAACTTTAGTTCTAATTAAGTGAGAGAGCTGAAACTTGGTGTATAGTTTCATTACACCAATACCTTGACTAAGTTCGATGAAGAGCATTTTCTGCTCAGGGTAAGCGGAGCGATAAGCAATTTGATTGGCCGAGACTTTGGAACACAATAACTCTCCTTCTAATTAAGCTTGAATGTTCAAACTTGGTGTAGGGGTTTATAAGGTCAATGCCTTGATGGAGTGCGAAGAACAGCATTTTCTGCTTAGGGTAAGCAGAGATAAGCAATTTGATTGGTTGATGCTTTGGAACACGATAACTTTAGTTCTAATTAAGTGAGAATGATGAAACTTGGTGTATAGTTTCATTACATCAATACCTTGACTAAGTTCGATGATGAGAATTTTCTGCTTAGGCTAACGAGCAATAAGCATTTTGATTGGTCAAGACTTTGGAACATAACAACTCTTCTTCTAATTGAGGTAGAATGTTTAAACTTGATGACTGAGTTCAATGATTAACATATCGAGCTAAAGCGAAGCAGAGATAAGCAATTTCCTGCTTTGGGACAAGATAACTTTGATCCTATCTGATAGAGAGTGATGAAACTTAGTGTATAGTTGATAATCAGTTTGATTGCTTGATACTTTGGAAAAAAATAGATGTGCGATTAATTAATATGTGTCATCTATTTATTTGGGGATTTCGGCGGGAGACATCAGCCTCACTGTTGGCTTGTTCTTAGTAGTATTTATTCACAGAAAGACATTAATATATTACATGTTCATTGCGAATATAAACGTCATTAATCAGACAGCTATTTACAATATAAAAACTTGTTGTTTTTTTTTTGCTTGTTTTTTTCTCTTGTGCGTTTCCTTATAAAATATATAATTTACAATTAAGAAATTTAGTATGTACATCAAAACTAGGTTAAAAAGGTTAAAAAATGGTTCGTCAACTAAAGGTTATCACGCTTCTTAGAAATGATTTACAGGGTTCAGGAAAGTCATCCAACTTCGAAGGATCTTATTTTAGAAAGATTCTTCTATTGCTATTTCCTGTGGAGGTATACTAAAGATTTTTAGTTTAATGCATTTCCCCTACTATCAAAAACGAAATGTAGGGGTTCTCGTAGAAATAAGTCTCTACGCCACTTTGTTATTAACTAGAAACGTGACTATATATCTATACATAAGGTAAAAAATTATTTCTTATATCATTTAAAATTGGACATTTTAACATAAAGTGAATCTCATCACCGATTTGATTTAAATTACATATTTTACAAACACGGTTTTCCCTTGGGATTTTAGTCCGACGTCCTTCTTCAATTTC